CTGAGGGATGGAGGCTGGCAAGCACATTGAAGAGAGACACTGGTGGGCCCCTCTGCCCGTCCCCTAAGCAGAAAAGCAGCAGAATCAGCTCAGCCCGGTCCTGGGCACAGACACTACACAAGGAGACACTGTATGTTAAGCAATACTTTAATACTGTAATATGTTGGTTTTCTTTCTTTCTTTCTTTTTTAACCAAAAAATGTAAGTCAACTGAAACAAAAATATATATATATACATAAAACCCACTCGTCTGGGGAAGCAACCTTAATTCAAACACTTGGCTATCAAATAATCAGAATGTATTGTCTCAGACAGGATTTCACTTCCGGGAGGCAGGGGCACGAAGGGGCGGGGACTGGGGGGGGGTGGTGTCTGAGAGACAAAAGTTCCAGAGCCTCCCTAGAAGGCTCTCTGCTGTATTCTGTACATACTGTACCATCCTGTGTGGAATCTGTGAGTGTCCTCTTGAGTAGCGTGGGCTAGCCAATCTGCCGTTCATGGTGTGTTGTAAACTCGGAATTCCATATGTAATAGGATGCAAGTCTAAGCGTTTCATGTGGACATAAATGTATCTAAATAAAACTTTCCCTAGCACTGTGGCTGACCTCACCCTTACTTTTATACTTTAGTATGAAACTGATGACAACTTTGGTAGTGAGTATTTTTTTTATATATATACATATATATGTATCTATATATATATATATCTCAAGCATCTTTCAGGTCTTTGTGTGTGGCTTTCTTAAAGCCCTGTTGTAAAAAATTACTATGTGGATGGCAGTCTCTCACATCACAGATGTGGAAAGTATAATTTTATATTTGTATTTTCAAATAAATAAGTTTGTGAAAGGTTTCCATCCTCTACTGTGGTCCAGAAATCAATGTGTTTGTCTGACAAAAAAAAAAATAAAATACAATAAACTGTTTTGAACAGAGTTGTTTGGTGTTCGTTCACTTGCGGAGGAGGGCTGGGCTGGGGGGTAGCGGTTGCTTGGTTGGGGGGGCAGCGGGTGTCACCAATCACACCTGCCTCCCCTCACCTCTCAGCACCTGCCTCCCAGCACCTCCAGTGGAGAAGTCCTTCTGCTGTCCCCAGGTAGCTGGTAGAACATTTTTATGAAGTGACAAGAGAGCATTGCCATGGAAGAACAGGCTGCAGAACACCTCAGAACCCTTGGGTGGGCAGGGAGCAAACACCAAAGGTCCCACAAGATCATGGGACCCAGATGGTAGATGTGTGTCGAAGGAGCTAAGTGGCTCTCCAGGTTGCTGCCTTTGTTATCAACAGCCTGCAGGAGAAGACACAGAACCAATTCCATGACCCTTGAGTAGGAGTCTGAAAGGGTATTAGGAAGCCCAGCCTTGGCCCTCAAGTTCAAAGTCCTGCTTAATGAAGAGAAATTTTGTACGATCCCAAAATTAAAGGTGTAGAAAGAAGTAGATCATCTGTGACACTTCTGCCTTCTATCTGACAAATCGTTGAGAGAAAAGAAAAGAATTGAGACAC